ACACTGTCCTCCCGACACACTGTCCTCCCGACACAGTGTCCTCCCGACACACTGTCCTCCCGACACACTGTCCTCCCGACACACTGTCCTCCCGACACACTGTCCTCCCGACACACTGTCCTCCTGACACACTGTCCTCCCGACACAGTGTCCTCCCCAGTGGCAATGGGGACGAGGAAGGAGAGGAAGAGGTTACCGCCAGGACGCAGCCCCCGGGTGGGAAAAGCACCCTTCACCCACGTTTCACTCCAGAGGAAAGACTGGATCACTCCAGAAGGGGGGTGCGGGGGGGTCCTGGACACCCGCAGTGTGGGAGGGGGTGGCCTGCCCAGGTTGTGCTCTCTGGACACAGCTCCTCGACTCAAATGGTCAAGGTGGTCCCTTCCGTCCGCTCGATGGAAAGCGCCATCAGAGAAAGGACCAGGCCTGGCATCTCACCACTGCGTTTTGTACCTGGACGGAGGAAGTGGTTAGTGAACGTTCATCAAAGGACCTTGGGCTTCATGGGGTTGCCAGAGCAACGGATGAGGACCACTGTCCACAACCATTGGGGCTGCTATCACCAAACACCCAAGGAGGGGCCTTATCAACAGCCTGGGATCATTTGTTACGTCAATCGTAATTTACATTACGATTCATTTGTATCCCCATCCTGGAAGCCAGGAGCACAAGCTCAAGGCTCCCACGTGCTCAGGTGAGGACCCCCTTCTGGGCCTCAGACGACTCCTCTATCCTCACAGGACAGAGGGGGTGGGAGAGCTCCAGGTCCCCCTTCATCAGGGCACCTCCCTTTCAGAGGGGCTCCCCACTCGTGACCTACTCACCTCCCATCACCTCCCCGAGGGCCCACCTCTTAACCCCATCACCTGGGGAGTTAGGACGTCAGCTTATGGATTTGGGGGCACATTCACACTAGAGCAATCAAGGATCTACACTCTGCCCGGAGAGCTGACTCTATGACCTCATTGGGTTTAAGGAACCGGGGGGCTGTCTTCAGTTCTGCTACCAGGACCCCACCTTCCTCACTCAGGCGCGGGGATGACCACAGCCAAGGGGCCGTGCGGGCGGCCCGCTGAGGTCGCCTGAGCCCCACATTACCCCACGGCACGCGGCGCGAGGCGGGCCTCCTGCGCCTGCTCTGAGGCCGCTGTCACTCGGGCTGTGTCCCTGTGGGTGCCACAGGCCCGTGCTCTGTGAGCACCGAGTTCCTCAGGGGACTCACTTCCTTGACAGGCTCTGGGCTGCCATCTGCTCCGTAGATGTTGGCAGCGACAGGCAGACCCTGCAGCTCTCGGTCTCCCCACCCGGAGTGTTTTATTTCTGTCCTGTTTTGGCTGTGTTTCCTCTGCCACAGTCGGGATCCTCGGAGCTCGATGGGGATGGGCGGGGAGTTGTTAGTGTCCTTGGCATGAAGAGTGTCTCCTGCTTGGAGCTCAACTTGGGGAAGGCTCCGCACTCCTGGCCCTCTGCGGAGAGAGACGGGTGCTCTGAGGGGTCCTGCACAACCAGTTTAGGCATCACTGACGACTCCCACCTCCCGGCCCTGACAAGGCGGCTCAGAGGCGGGGCTGCGGCAGCCGTGGACCGACAGTCGCGTGGACGTGCCGTGGGCAGAAGCACAGTGTGGCCCAAGAGAGGGTGCTGGGTTGAGGTTGGGGTCTCCCAACCAGGGGCAGCTAGGAGATGCTTCATTCAGCCTGACTTAGGATGTCACCTTGGGTCTTGGCCTTGGGCCCTCTGGGTTCTCTGTTGCTCCTCTCCACCTGCCCGGTGGGCCGCTGACCAGTGGCGTCTGGAAAGCATCAAGCAAGCCTTCTTATCTCCACGCGGACTCCGGGGGCAGTCTTTCCTTCCATCCGACACCCATCGCAGGGCAGTCGTTGCCATTCCAAGGGGTCGTGCTGAGATTTCACCCTCAGCGGGAGTGGCCTCGCTCATTGGCAGACAAACGTCCCTGCATCTGGGCAGAGAGCAAGGCCCGCCTTCTGGTTAGTGTCTCAGGCCGGGACTCAGAGCCATCCAGATGCTTCTCCTTCTCCCACATCCACATCCCACGAGGCAGGAAATCCTGTTGGCTCGACGTCAAGTTTTCCAGAATTCTATCCAGGTCCTTTCTTTCTCGACACTGCCACCCTGGCCGAGCCACCACCACCATCCCTGACCCTGACAGCCCCTCTCAACACAGGAGCCAGAGCAGGCCACCCACTGCTCAAAACGCCCAGAGCCCCCTCTTTGCCCAGAGCCCACAACCAAGTCCTCACGGCAGCCTGGGGTGGTTCCTCCAGAAGCCGGCCATGCGTAAGGTGTCTGAATCCCGTATGGCTGACGTAACAAATGATCCCAGGCTGTCTTTTATCTTACAGCAGCAGTTCTCAACCTATGGGTCGCGACCCCTTTGGCGGTCGAACGACCCTTTCATAGGAGTCTCCTAAGACCATCCTGCATATCAGATATTTACATGACAATTCATAACAGTAGCAACATTACAGTTATGAAGTAGCAACGAAAATAACTTTATGGTTGGGTCACAACATGAGGAACTGCATTTAAAGGGCCAGAAGGTTGAGAACCGCTGGCTTATAGTCTGGAAGATCAGAAGTCCGAAATGGGTCCGACGGGCTAACATCAAGGTGCCAGCAGAGCTGTGTGCCTTTCAGGAGCCCCGGGAAGACTCTGCCCCTTGCCTGGCTGGTCCAGCTCCGGGACAGCCTGCATTCCGTGGCTTGTGGCCCCTCCTGCCAAGCAATAGTTAGATCTCTAGCCTTCATCACGTCTACTTCTCCATCCCTCCAGCCTCCCTCTTATAAGGACCCCGGGCTCACAGGGCACCCACCCGGATAACCTGTTTCAAGACCCTAGATTTAATCATAACATGTGCAAAGCCCCTGTCCCCATGAAGATAAGCAGTCACCGGTTCCAGGACTTAGCACGTGGTGGTCTTTGGGGAGCCGTTGTTCTGCCGGCCGCAGGAGGATTCATGAGGAAGTCGTTTTTTGGTAGGTGAGTCCAGAAGACATGATTTCCTTAAACCTGAACGGCCGCCCTAAATGCCTTATCTCCAAACGCAGTCACGTGGGGGACTGGAACTTCAACATCTGGATTTGGGGGGATGCAATTCAGTCCAAGGCAGGGATGCCCCTGGGGAAGCTGGGAAAAATACACAGGCCCAGGTTTTTACTTACTTCCAGGAGCCCAGGCCACCACACGGGAGGAGACTGCATGTAGTTGTCCCCGGAAAGTGACATTGGTGGAGGGCGTCCAAGGTCGTTTACGCTCTTGCTCCCTCCAGCGGAGTCAAGCCCTGGAGAGGGCGGTCACCGGCGTTTGCATGAGCCTGGCACGGGGAGCTGCCAGCCAGGGGGACGGGTGGCTGAGTGTTCTACACGGATCTCCAACTGAGCGTGGGCACAGAACATTTTTTTTAAATTTTAATAAGAAAAAGAATTTTAATCAGAAAAGTAATCTGATATCCTCAACATAAAATAATCTGAATAATTACATGCACATGTATAATTTTATCTCATCATTTTCCTCTTAGTGTTAAAACCCACATTTATATATACATGTATCTTATGTTTATAACATGCGTAGCATCATACCTATGTGTGTACATGCATATATGCGCATGTATACGCATATGTGCACAGGTGCAGGGATATTATACACATATATATTACATTGCTCCAGAGACTATATACCAAATGATTAACGGTGGTTATGGCAGGGAACAACTTTCATTTCTATGTAATTTGAGTTTATTTTTTTGTGTAATTGGAATTTATTTCTACATGGAGAGTGTCCTATTTTGTGCTTTAAGAGGTTTCTAAAATAATGAAACATGTAAAAGTAGATGGGATGAGGGCACGTTGCAGGGAATGAGAATCCAGACACGTGTCGAGCAGGACCCCTGGGCCGTATTTCTTTCGACCTCTGTTATGTGGCTTATCCTGAACATGCAGTTCCAAGGCCTACTTCTTTGGGCTTGATGTTATATTGTGAGCATTTCCGGCGTCATTAAATATTCTTGGCTCATATATATTTTTAATGGCCGCATAATATTCCTTCATGGCTATTCATCATTTATTCATCCACCCCTGCATCCACTCTCCTCCTGGCCGCCCATTAATACCTTAACTACTTGGATGAGAAACAGTGGCTCTCAGGGTCCCCAGTCAGTGAACGTATATCTGGGACATTTCAGAGAATATCAAAGTGGCTACTTCATTAATATAAAGAGGGCACGGACCAAGCAAATCAATATCTCTGTGAGGCATTGTTGGAGGAACAGAAGCCCTGGGCATCGTGACCTGCCCGGAGCTACTCGCATCATCTCACTCGGGTCTGCACGCCTCCCCACTCTCCCCCCACCTCGCCCCCCCCCCCCCCTGGCCCTCTGCCCTTGTTTCCTGGCAGGTGCCCTGAGCAGAGCCAACTGGCCTATTAGCTCATGAAAAAAAAGTTTGGGATAAAAATAAGGTTGGTATATGAGCTTAATAATTTTCCAAAAATAGACCTCCCTAGGCCTTGCCGTCTGTCCCCATCTGTGAGAATGCACCATTTGCCTGCCGAAGACGGGCTCCGGGTCCGGCTGGAGATGCTGGGAGACGATGGAAGAGAAGAGGGGACTCGTCATTTTAATGGAATCTCTAAACAAAATGCCGATGCCTCCCTGCAGCTGCCCCGTGGACCAGGGAGGGAGGGGCTGGGGGGCTGGGAGGGGCACGCCCAGGGACAGTCCTCCCCCTGGGGCACGGCTTTTTACAGCCAGTCGGTGACCGGTAACTGTGACAAGCGTTTCTGGTGGCACAGGAAGAGCTGACCTATTCTGGTTTGGTATCAATACAATAACAAAGGTAATTCTGAAACAGCTTTACCGCCTTCGGAACAAAACCTTTTGCATCGAGCGGGATCTGGGAGGAAAGGTTAATTGAGGGTTGACTCACAGTCTTAGGTTTGCAAAAAAGAGGGTTAAGTGGAGCCTTTTTGTAGCAATTACTTACCTCGAAGCGTCAGGCTCTCCAGCGGGTGGGTTAAGCTGCCTGTTGCCCCGGCTCAGTTCTGGCGCCCAGGAAGCGAGATGCTGGGTCCCTCCCTCAGGGAGTGGTAATCTGTGGGTACACCATGAAGAAGGACACATGTGAAAACCCAGTCCCGTGTTTTGGAGACCCCTGACCCAGCGGAACCTCTGCCCCACGCAGCAATGATGGTCCATTGGACTTCAGACACTGATTGGGCTCAACTTAAGAAGCACATAAAAGCCCGGCCTGTGTGGCTCAGTGGTTGAGCATCGACCTATAAACCAGGAGGACACAGTTCGATTCCCGGTCAGGGCACATGCCCGGGTTGCAAGCTAGATTCCTGGTAGGGGGTGTGTAGGAGGCAGCCGATCAATGATTCTTTCTCACCATTGATGTTTCTGTCTCTCCCTCCCTCTCCCTTCTTCTCTGACATATTTTTAAAAGCACATAAGAAGCCAGCCCTTGTTCTGGGCTCTACATGCACAGAGCTAAGACAGTCTGTGTGGTCAGGGGTGTCTCAGTCTGGAAGGAAAACAGACGTGAATGAATAATTACTGTGCAGGGGAAGGGCAGGCATACTCAACGTGGGTTCATTCATTCATTCAGCCACTGCTGTCTGCTGTGCAGGGAGCCATGCATATCGGGGACTCCACGTGTCATAGCAGACATGGCCCTTGTCCTCAAAAAACTCAGCCTAGCAGGGAACATAGCCATGGAACAAATAATAATGACACAGGACGTCTTTGCGTCCCCTTAGTGATAAACGCATTGAAAGACACAGGGAGCTCTGAGTATAACACAGGAGAACCTGTGGGTTGTGTGCGCACACACCCTCCTCCACCAGCTTTTGACCTTTGACCCCTCTGATCCCCTGGGTCCTGGCTGCTGGGTGCACCTCTGCCTCTGTGTATCTGAGACATCTGGACCGGCCAGGGTAAGATGACAGGGGGGCAAGGAGGAAAGCTCCAGACTGGAAGTCGAAAGACACTGGTCCTAGATCCAGCTCCGTCACAAAGTAGCCGGTGGTCTGGGTTCCCTAAACCCAGCCTGCCCCACCCTGCTCCGGCTCCTGACTCCTGCTCCCCATGGTCTGCTTCCCCCACATCCTCCAAAGCATCCTAAGGAAGCCCCGCCCACAGCCTCTGGAGCCAGAACACTTGGGTTCAGCTTCCACCAACTTGCCTCTGTGTGCCTCAGTGTTCTCCTCCATACAATGGGGGTCATAGCCGTGCCGGACACTCAGGGCCCGCCTCCTGCATGGTCCGCGCCCTAGATGCACACAGCAACCTGTGGCTCAGGAGCGGCCCCGTGGCCTGAGACCCACCTGAGCTGACCGCACTGGGCTGCTTGTCCGCCTCTCCTCCAGCCCCGCCTCTCCGCCCAGCAGCAGAGCACAGGTGTTGCCCATTAACAGGAGAGCAGCGCTCATCTGGAGAAAACGCTCAGCCATTAAGGCCTTGACATTGAGCTATGATTTTGACAAATAAGACACAAATGCACGAGGTGCCAAGAGCCCCTCAGTCCCGTCACAGCGGCTGGCTCTGGGAGGGAACAGCAGGGGATGGGGGCCTTGACTGGGAACGGGGCCCCCCCAGACGCCCCTCTGGCAGCCTTTCATCCGGGGGTGCTTCCCGAGCCAGGCCGGGGCCCCGGGAGCGCTTCGCCTGGAGGTGGGGATTTGGAGCCCTGGCGGCCCCCACCTTACCACGAGTTGTTTTTTAATATATTTGTATTGATTTCAGAGAGGAAGGGAGAGATAGAAACGTCAATGATGAGAGAATCATAGACCGGCTGCCTCCTACATGCCCCCTACTGGGGATCCAGCCCAGAAACTCGGGCAGGTGCCCTGACCTGGAATCGAACTGTGACCTCCTGGTTCATAGGTGGACACTCAACCACTGAGCCACACCAGCCGGCCGGGCCGACCACCAGTTCTGAATCTCGCTTGCAGGGTTGCAGGACCCTCCCAGCCCTGATTCAAAAAGCCTCCGGGTGCTGATTGGCGTGTGATTGGCAGGCTGGGCCTGGAGGTCCCTCCCCTTTTTCTCCAGCCCCTTTGCCGGTAGGTTGAGTTGGCTCAAGTTGATGACAACCAGGAGTCAGGTGTCATCTCCCCTATCCTGGGGCCGTGTGACCCCGCATACAGCACAGCAGGGCTGGCAGCAGAAGCAGGTGGTGGCAGCTCATGTGTCCCCGCCTGGGGTCATGATAAAATGCAGATTCTGATTTGCCAGGCCTGGTGGGGGGCCAGAGCCAGGGTTTTTAAGAAGCTCCTCAGTGACGCTGAGGTCCCAGACTGCACCAGGGCAGCAAGGCTGTAGGGCAGTGTTTCTCAAACATGGCCCTGTGGAACCCCCGGGGCACCTCCACAGCCTTGATACCCCAGAGCTTCTGGGTTCATTGGTCTGGGCTTGGGGATCAGGTTCTACCAGGCAGCAATGGAGTCTGGTTGTGCAGACAGACAGACAGACAGACCTGGACTCACGCTACTGATCCAGACAGCCTGCATATGGAGGAGGGAGCCGTCATAGGGGGCGGGAGACAGGTGACACATTGCAGAGTAAGTGCCAGGCCAGTGGGACTAACGCTGAAAACTGGAAGACCACGGGAGAAGCCCTCCTCGTCATTCAGGAAGGGGCGCTGGCTCCTGAGGGGAGCCCCGTGCTCACTTCCAGCCGGATACACGGGGTGCTAGGCCGGGGCCTTCCCTGGGGTGTGAGGAGAGAAGGGCTTTGGGAAAAGCCTTTTTCCTGGTGAGAAAGCATCGCCACTCTCCTTGGAAAACGAGCCTTTTTCCTTGGCAGAGAGGACGGGAGGAAGAGGAAACTCATTGCACAGACGGGCACCTGCCAGTCTCCTGCGAGGATATGGCCCTGAAATTGCTTTTCGGATCCTCCCGCTAAGCCCACACAGGTGGCCCCTCAGCCCCGCCATGGGGTTTCGGAGCCCTGCCCGCAACTGGCTCTCTGTCTCACCACAGCCTGCGGCTGTCTCCCCTCCACAACCAGGAGGCACAGGCCCAGAGAGCCCTGGTGCCGACAGCGTCAGAAAAACAGGTCCCCGAGACATCCACAGGCGCCTGGGGATGCAGGGCCCATGGGGTGAGGGCTGAGGGCGATCTGAGGATGACGCGGCTGAAAAATCTTCCCGGGAAGGTGTGGAAGGTAAATGCCACGTCCGGGCGCTGCTCCCTGGGCTGGGAATGCGATGAGTTATTACCCAAGGAAATGAAACTGCTAATACATTCAAAGCGAAGCTAAGGGAGATTAAACTCTATTTTTAAAAGGGAGCCGGTGATTTATAAAGTGGCCTCTCCTCGCCTCCCCGGCCCCATCAGCCCTCCCCGTCCTCCCTCCTCACCCTCCTCACCCTCCTCACACCCAGGCCCTCTGGACCTATTACTCCCCCCACCCCATTTCCTCTGGCTGTTCTTTTCTCCCCCTTGGGGGTGGGAGTGGCTTACGGGGGGTGGGGGTGGGGACATAAAGCTCAAATTGGGCTGAACTTTGGGAAACGGTTGCTGGTTGTCGAGATCCCCGCGGAAGGGCCAGGAGGAAATTTGTTTTCCTAAGAAGTCTGTTCCGACAGTTGAGCCAACACATTACAACAGAATGAGCTCTAAATGGGCGATCAGACTCAGGAGCTGGGCACTGGGCAGGGGGCGGCTCCTGCAGTGAGTGACAGCCAACTCAGCCAATCAGTAGTGGCCAGGCCTCCCCAGGCTGCCCTGTTGGGAAAGCTGTCTGGCTGCGTTCTCATTTTCCCTCCTCATCCCCCTTGAGCCTCATTGCCCAAACCCTGCCCGCCCCTCCATCTCCACTCCCCACTTTCCCTGCCTGAAGCCATCAAGCCCCCCCACCCCCCCTCCCCCGCTGCCTGACCTCATTGCCTGTTTCCGGGGCGACAGGCCTGTGATGTCCCTCATGGAGGCCCCTGAGCCTTCAGGTGGGCTGATGGGAACAGCAGGTGCCCAGGAAGAGGAGAGAACAAGGCTCTTGATTCTGTGCCATGATCCCTAGATAATGGGCATGGGGGAGGGGAGAGGAATGGGGGGAGGGGGGGCAACTGTGGGCTGCAAACACCCAACCCTCAGGGCTCAGCTAGAGAAGGTGGGGAGATGTCCTCAACCCCCTTCCCCAAACTCCTACTGAGGCCCCACACTCCAGCCTGAATGGTTATGGTCGAAAGCCTGGCGGGTCACAGAGGGACGCGGGTTCCCCCGTGGGCCATGTTCCGCAGCCCGTCCCCACCTTCTGCACCTTCCGATGGTGAGACCTGAAGGAAGGCCCACCCCGGTCAGCTTGTGAGCTCACCCGCAGCGAAATCCGGCTCCCGGGCTCCCTCGCAGTCGGGGTCTGTAGGAGGTCCTGAGCCCAGTGGCCTTCAGAGCAGCCTGGGGGCTGAGGCTGCTGCCCTCCAGGTCCCCGGTGTTTCTGATTTCTTCAGTCCAGCAGGGCACCCGAGGGAAATGCAGACTTTGCTTAGAAACAAAGGCTCCGCCCAGCAGGCTCTCCTGTCGGTAAAGCAAACTTTTACCCGAGTTTCAGGTAATTTGTCCTGAAGCCTGCAGGCTTACCTGCACCCAGGTGTCGCCATTACCTGAGTGATTAGCATGCTTACGAGCAAGGGGGGGTCGAAAAACAAGCTCAAAGCAAATTCAGAATTCTGACTTTGGCGCCCTGAAGCCCACATGTATAGCTTTGCTTCCCACCTATAGAATGGGGGGAGGGGGGGACTGTGATGGGGGGAGGCAGAGGGTGAGCAGCATCACAGGTCACCTCAGAACGGGGGACAGAGGAGGCCCTCCCCTCCCGGTGATGGGTCCTGCCTTTGTTTCTCTCTCAGGATCTGCCAGCAAAACAAAAGTAACAACCTAAGGACAATTTCCAAAGAAAGATGGGAGAAGACAGTGAGAGAATCTTTAGCACGGATTGTTTATGTCCAAGGAAAGAGAGGAGAGCGGATTCCCCATAGCCCAGCCCGGAGGTGAAAATGTAATCCTATAATCCAGTCGGCCAGGGAGCCAGGCAAGGACTGGAGTTCCTTTCAAAGTCAAGTGTGCGTGCGGAATGCTTGATGCCGGGCGGTGG